AGACAATAGTTTGTATTGACCCGGAATATATTCGTATAATGTTTTCTTATCCCCTCTGAGGCACCGTTTTTTCCAAACTAAAGAAATTTAAATTTGTTTACTTTACTTCATAATTAAAATGCTCCATTCCTTTTATCAATTTTGTAGCCCACCTTTGCACTTTTTCTAGTGCCATAGTATTCTTCTTTAGAACAGGTGCCACACATTGGACATTATATTCAAGGTGAGGTCTTACCAATGATTTATAAAGAGGCAAAATTATATTTTCATCCTGAGAATTAATGCTCCTATTTAAACAAGATAATACCTCACTGGCTTAACCACTGCTGATTGACATTGCACATTGTTGCCAAGTTTATTGTCTATAACAATTCCTAAATCCTTCTTGTGTATTGTTATCCCTAATTCACTACCATTTAGGGTGTAAATTGCTTTATGCCAAAGTGCTTAACTTTGCATTTTTCTACATTAAATTTAATATACAGTTTGGTTGCCCATTCCCATAATCTATCTAAATCCCTCTGCAGCAAAGTAACATCCTGCTCACATTGTATTACAGAGTTTTGTGTCATCTGCAAACACTAAAACATGGCTTTCAATGCCTATTTCAAGATCATTTATAAATATGTTAAATAGTAGTGGTCCCAGAACCCTGAGGGACACCACTAACCACTTTTGTCCAGCTTGAAAATTTACCATGAATGACAACTCTCTGTATTCTATCCTCAACCCAATGTTATAACCAAGATCAATAATATTCATCTAGACCAATTTCATTTAGTTTGAAGACCAACCTATTGTGACGAACCGTATCAAATGCCTTTGCGAAATCCAAGTAGATCACATCCACCGCAACACCCTGATCTATACTTCCACTTCTTCACAGAATGCAATTAGGTTAGTTTGACATGACCTATGTTTCATAAAATCATGCTGATTATTGCTAATAACAATGTTCTTCCCAATGAATTCATTCGTAGTATCCATTAATAACCCTTCAAATACTTTCCCAGTCATAGAAGTTAATCTTACAGGTCTATAATTTCCAGGCAAAGAAGTTGAACCCTTTTAAAATATAGGAACCACATCTACATACTCCAATCTTCCAGTAGAATTCCTGAAAGAAAAGAATCTTTAAAGATTAAATACAGAGGTCCACTCGGTTCCACACTTAACTCTTTTAGTACTCGTGGGTATATACCATCAGGTCACAGAGCTGTATTTACATTAACTTACTTTAGCTGCTGCAGCAACTAATCTTGAGTCATACCATCACAATTTTTTTGCAGCGATCATTTGCATATCTCTTGCCATAGGATCCTCCCTAATATATACTGAGCAAAAAATAGTTATTTAAAATGTTTGCGTTTTGCTGGTCTTCATTAACTTTTGCTGGTCTTCGTTAACCATCTCTGTTTTCAGTGTACCTATACTTTTAGAAGAAGATATTTTTTAGAATTGATGTACTTAAAAAATATTGGGGGTTGAGGATTTAAAAGGTTTAGCACTGCGAGCAGATGCAGGGACGTATTAGCCGCGATGCAAGCAAGGCATTTGCCTTGGGCGGCACTTTCCAGGGTGTGGCAAAAAAAGCCGCCCCCAAATGTCTTTTTAGCCTTGCGGGCGGGCGGCGCTGGTGAGGGATCACTGATTAGTGAGATCTCTGCTCAGCTCCCTCGCGCGCCGCAGAGTGTTGCCGGGAGCCAGAATATTACATCATATTCTGGCTCCCGGCATCACTCTGCGGTGCGCGAGGGAGCTGAACAGGAGGATCAGTGCTCCCTCGCCGCCTGCAGTCACCAGCAGCCCAGCAGCCCCACTGCACCCCAGGGAAAGGAGAATCCACCCCAGCATTCCCAAAGGTAAGGAGGCTGAGGGGATTGAATTAAAAAAAATGTGAGTGTGTTAGTGTGTGTCTGTTAGTGAGTGAATGTGTTTGTTAGTGTGTGTGTCTGTTAGTGAGTGTGTGTGTTTGTCTGTTAGTGAGTGAGTGTGTGTCTGTTAGTGTGTGTGTGTCTGTTAGTGTGAGTGTGTGTGTGTGTCTGCTAGTGTGTGTGTCTGTTAGGGTGTGTGTATGTGTGTGTGTGTATGTGTATATGTGTGTGTGTGTGTGTCTGTTAGTGTGTGTGTGTGTTAGTGTCTGTTAGTTTGTGTGTGTCTGTTAGTGAGAGTGTATGCGTGTCTGTTAGCTAATGTATATGTGCCTGTCAGTGAATGTGTGTGTGTGTGTGTGTATTTAGAAGGCAGGGAAGGGGGGGGTGGCAGGAGAAGGGGGAGTTGTGGGGGGGGGGGGCGCCGGATTTTTGTCATGTATTCCTGACACCATAGTTCTAATAGCGCTACCTTGGTGTCTGCCACCCCTCTCCCTCCCCCCCCCCACCATCTCCACATTTAAAAAGGTGTTAATCTCACCTTATTTCCAGATAAAGGTTTGCAGAAGGAAGGTGGAAGTGACCAGGTGGTCTGTCACAGTGGTAAGTTTATGACATGACCAATGAATAGAAGCATCTACCTAACCCTCTCAAACCCTATCCACAGGCAGAACCTTGCCTTGTTGTGGTTTCCATTTTGTTTATTTGAGAGCCAGGGCCGTCTTTAATAACGAATGGACCCTGGGCAAGTGTTTGTTTGGGCCCCCTGTGCCCTGCTGCTCTCGCCCCTCACTCCCTGGTATGCAATCACGGCATCCATCCCAACACATTGGCGGTACTAAAGTAGAATGAATTTTATTGGGACCCCCAATTGCAAGGTTGGACTAAAGGTAGAACCCCATCTGTCGTGTAACTCCAACAATGCTTTGACAGCTGGGACTCTACCAATTTCCCATGCTTGCAGGGTTGTATTTAGCACTGAGCCATGTTAGTATGTTTGAATGTAAGCATATGTTTGTATGGAGTATGTTTGTGTGAATGTGTTTGTATGTGGTACTGGAGTTTGAATGCAAGTGTGCATTTATGTGTAGTGTTTGTTTTTGAATGTAGGAGTGTGCTTGTATGTAGTGTTGACGCTTCAATGCAGGAGTGTGTTTTATATGTAGTGTT